CAGCACTCTGAAGATGTAAACTGCTATGTAAGTGACAACTAATGATGAGGCTTAAGCAGCATTCATTAGCTTTGTGTGAATTCACAAACAAACAAGTAGCTCTTGAAAGTGTTAGTACAGATCACTATTAAATATCTCATTCTATTCATTTTAAGAGATTGCCTATGAACCTTCTGAAACATGCAATTTATATGTACAAAACCAGCTTTTCAGAAATCTAGTGGTACTGCAATTCTATCATTGCTTTCATTGTTACCATTTCTGTTGAAATTATTTATCCTATTCACACATTGGGAACTACAGCATTTAGTTAATACTGAAAATGAGCGTCAATTCATTTGAAAAAATTGGCTTCAAATGGGCACCTCAGCCTGTAGGGCTTTTTGAATTATACTTCACTATGCCATTCTTTTTATTTAAAGAACAAGTTAAAGACTTAACATTTATTTGTACAATCTGGAACTTGTACCAGAAAGGATGGTACAATCTATGAGCAAAACTGCTGAAGATCATTGACGATCCAGATCTGCAAACGAAGGACTGTGTTTCCTGTAACTTTCTTGCAGCTTTTATTCATTAAAATTGAATCAAGACCACATAAAAGTAGAAAAGCAATAAGATACTGAATCAAATTAAACATTTATTCCACTGGTGAAGAGTAGCAGGCTTTTTCTCAAATACCTCAATGCAAAAGAAGAAAGGAAACAATACTGTACAAAGACTTCCAAAACTAGCACTGAACAAAATACTTAAAAGAAAAATACAGTGAAGGGAAAGCTTTCATTGCATGTAAATGCATTAAAGTGATATAATTAACAATCAAGTTTACAGATGTCTGCGACTTAATAAATTCCTAGTTTGAAGCACCTGCTGATTTAAGGAGGCAAACCCATAACTTATTTTTCACTGCACAAAAATAAGCATATATTCCCATTATACACATACTTTCAATAATTGTCTGTATTTCAAAAATCATATTTATATTTGTGATAACATCCTCATGTTAGAATTAAAAAAGTCAATGAAAGTCAGTAAAAATACAGAATATGGAGAAAGACTAAGATTATTGTAACTTCAAACTCTGAAGCTGCAGCTTTCGTTTTGTCTACCTGAACGTTAAAAAATGTTTCTCTGAAAAAGAGTTGCAAAGTATACCAGTAATTTAAGAGCATGGTAGATTGATTCAGCCTCATTAAAACAGGCATTTCTTAATTAGTCATTCTGAGAAAAACTACTCCTCTGTATTAAAAGTAAGCAATTATATAGTGAAACTGTTGTTTCATTTAATAAAATCCTTAACTTGAGAAACACTCCCACTTCTTAGCTCACTGTATATGCAATTCAACAAAACAAATTTGTTACGTCTTGTATTTCAGTAGAAAAGGGCAAAGATGAAGGCTGGTATATTTTTATTGTGTGATTAAAATACGTTTTACACAAATTTCAGTTCTATGCGGGAACACTCCCATTCTGCTTTCAGAAATGAAACTCCCTAATTATATGGTCTTGGGAGTCTTTTGTGATCACTGCAGCACAAGATGTAACACAGGCCAGTTCCAAGCAGTCCTTCCACTAGGAATCACTTCAGACAGGGCTGAATTAGCAAAGCCCTCTGGGCAACACTTCTCAGACAAGTGCAGGTACAGTAAAACAAGTAATCTTTTATTTACTGTTCATTTGTTATAGTTGTTTTACGTTATGAGTGTCAGTAAAAAAGAATTAATTGTATCTAAAAGTTGAAGGGAAGAAAACAGGCACGTGTCATCCTGGATCCCCATTTCCTCAAGAAGTGAATTTTAGCTGTTGTGACCACACCCATGGCTGTAGTCTGGCCAGCAAAAGGAGACCTGAAGAAGTCAAAGTATGGAAGATCATTTGATCAACACAAGCCTTTCCCAAGACACAGTAAAGTCAGAGACAAGCAGTAGAAGAGTTCAAATGTAAGTGATTACTTCACACTGAATACATTAGTCTGCTATGTATCAGCAAAACCCTGGCATTATCAGCAAACCAAAACAGTTTATGGATTTAAATTTTTTTAGTGGAAGAATATGAAGGTGCTTCTTGTCACAGTTCTACTGGAATTTGCTCAGTAGATTGGTACCTAGATGAACCATGTTGTATTTACAACTGCTGTCAGTTTGCCGAGCAGTTCGAGGTAATTCACATCATGTGCTGTCTCTCACTTTCCCCACTTCTAGGAAAATACATACAATTAGTTTCCTGCACTTGTCATAGCACTTTGACATAAACTGATGGGAAGTACTGCATCAAAGAAAAATCTTACAAGCTTGTGGACGCAATTCAGTACTGAGATCTTAAAGGGTACAAAACCTGTAATTCCAGGTAAGAGGGATGTAAAGGATTTAACTCACTTTGTACTTCCCTGATCTGGGTCTACTAAGAAATAAAGTTGAATCCACCCATACCTATTCAAGCAACTCAAGTGGCAGTAACTTTTCACTGCTTTTCTGTGAGTAGTAGCCCTGACTAGAATAATTACAAATTCTTCTGCTTGTTTCCTATGCTAGAATTTCCAAATATGTCCTTGAAAATATTCCACAGCTTTCCTCCTTAACCAGAAAAAAAAAAAAAAAAAAAGGTCTTTCCCAGTCAAGTCCATGATTAAGAGTTATAGTTTGGGAAAGCACTCCTGTCCCTTTCAGTTTCTTTTTAAGAACACAAGTTAATTAATTCTTCTCTATACTATACTTTCCAGATGCCCAACTAACACCAAGTTCTGGGTTCTCTGTCTGACAGACAACCCTCTAAGCAGATATCCATTCACTGAGCTGCTGACGTGGATAAATGATGCTGTTACAAGATTTGAAGTCTCCAGAATGACTTAAATGATTTTCATTCTGGAGGAACAATCAAACTGCCTAAACACAGGTATTCAGTGCCATCACCGTCTGGTGCCACTGGGCCATCCACAGTGGCACAAGGTACTGTGTCTAGGCAGCTGAGTCCTAACCTCAATTTCACTAATGCTGGGCATCCAAGCTTGAGCCTGAGTCACCCAATCTTAAGCGCAGGAAAAGGTGCGAAGGTCCTTAAATGTCTCCTGGTACCAGCTTTAACAGGAAAAATGCAACATTTACTGACAGTCTGGGCCATACCTCTATGATGACTTCTGGAACTTCAACCCCAAGTTTCTGTCCTTGCTCCTGCTGTTCATTCTTTTTCCAAGACTCTTCTGTCTTTATGCAGTCTGTATATTACAGCAACAATTACATCACTAACCTCTTCCCAGCCTCCTCTGAGCAGAGTATCCATGTATTTAATTTTTTTTTTTCAGATTTATCCTTTTGGAAGGGAGCTTACCTTAACTCTTATCCCACACAAACTTCAATGGAATAACCTCTCTAAGCATTGCTTCACCGGGTTCCCTCACAGAACCTCATTCCTCAACTTCAAACTCTGTTTTCTGGCCCCAGATGCTACAAGCCCTTGCCTTTTTTCTGACTTTAACAATCTATAAAAAGTTGATTATTTGTGACTTCTGGTAATAGATTAAGAGGCCCTAGTTTAGAAGATGACGGCTTGTGGCATCAGCCCCTACCATGTTACATCCTGCTATCATTTCCTGCTACAACAGCACATTACGTGAGAAAAATGGGTCATACTAAAGAGTACCAGAAGCTTTCTCCTTTACAAGTTAAACATGGACAGTAGCAACACAAGTTTCCCTTGTGTTTGCAAAGAACAGAGCTAGGCCTGGAATGGTAAAAGTAGTCTTCTCTGCAAGCTAGTTAAGTCACCAACTTATCTGTTGAAGTAATCGGCAGATTCTAATTTCTTGTAACAGACCTTCAGAATATGGATATACAATCATGCTACAGGAGACTTACCAGTTTGTGACAGCTTAGACAGAAAACCTAGGGGTTTATATAATTCACACTGACATTAACTTTTTTTCTCCCCCTCCAGACTCCAACATTAGCAGGAGGCTTTTCTGCCTTCTTTTTTATACAATTAAAACTAGCCTTAAATAATCTCTCAAAGGGACTAAGCATTAAGATCTTAATACAGAAAGTTAGACGATACAAAAACGTGTACAGGTTTTGTTATGATCAGCGTTCATCCTATAAATGTATTTTTTAGAATGCTTTGATTTACTGACCCTGTAAAATGAGGACTTTGATAAAGAAAACAATGGTGATGTTCAGTGTACCAAATTGTACGCAATTTGTGGCATTAACAGGTATTACACAAGAGAGAATATACACAAGTCTTGCCATGAAATGGAAAGATGAACAGTACTAATAGTGAGGAGAAGATAGGGAGGCACAGAGACTTCTTGCAAAGTAGTGAAACAGGATGAGCCAAAGACAATTTTTACACACATGAAAACAGAAGAGATAGGAGGGTAACCTAATTAACTACACTGAGGGAAAGGAAGTGAAAAACAGGCATGTGCAATGAGCTTCTGTTGTGCACAATACACTAAGTGCCAAGTGTACACAGAAAACACACTACTTTCTAGTTCTTAATGCAAAAAAAAATCTTACTCATCTATAGCTTAGAAGGAAAAGTCAGAAAGAAAAAAATCAATCATATTTTTTGAAAGTTTCTTCTTAAACAAAAAAAATCATGCCTATTTGGGCCACAGTGTAATCGGAAGCTCCTGTAAAATAACTGCCACTGAATCACTACCAAATTCTGATAATCCCAAACAGTGTATCACAGAGAAGATGCAGCTATTAAAAATGTTGAAAGTTACTTCAGTAATAGTAAGTGCTGTACAGTAAATGGTTCTAGCAGAGACATTTAGCTATACTATCACTAATTGAGTTATAAGCTCAAAGTTCTAACTGGTGTCTGTTGTAATTTCAACTAGTATGACAGACAATTGATATCAAAATGTATGAAATCAAACTGATTTAAGCAAGTTCTAGCGCACAGTTTTTAAACATGTGGGAGAAAAAAAACAACAACAAAATGAGAACAAACCCAGTACAATTCTAATTCGCAAAAATTATATGAATAGTTCAACTTACTCTTTTACTGAGGCAGATAACTGGCCACATACTACAACCTAAAGTGCAGCAGCAGCAAAGGCATCCACATAGTAGCCATCGTACATTAACTGGAAGGTTCTTCTTAAGACAACTGTTAACTCTACTGATGCTGGCTTTAAATTCTTCGGGTGCAACCTACAAGGGAAAAAAAAGAAAACACCACAAACTAGTATCACAGCAGTAGGACTTACTACTCTTACAATGGTCTACATCTGGAACTCTCGTTTTTGTAATAAAAATCTTAATTCTAATTCCAAATTCCTATTCACAGATACTCACTTTTCCAGTTAAAGATGAAGGAAATTCTGCTTCAAATTTGTTGCTTAGTCCAAACCTGCAAAAACAAAATGAAGATCACAACAAAATCATAAATAACTCCAATCCATGCCACAAGTTACAATCACCTCATAATACTCTCAGGGTTTGTATCACGGCAGCATTAATTTCAGGAAAAAATAGCTGTTATTAAAAGTAATTCCTAAAATTATCCTAACAGACAAAAGTACACCATTGTACACAGTTTGAAATCCATCCTGCCTATAGTCTTCCCTTAAAGTTCTGTTGATACTGTTGACTCTTCCCCAAATTCTGCAGGATCTTTATAAACAATAGTGGAATAAGCAAGCATGGAAATGAAATAGAAGTACTTAAGAGGAGAGAGGAGGTAAGCTAAGGCCACAGTTTGAATGTGGCCCACTCCTCCACCAGTAGAAATGTATCTTGAAGAAAAGTTCATGCAGTGCTATTCCACTCAGGCCATGCTAGGTAACTGTTCTAAGCATAAAAATGGAATCAATACCAGCTTGCTTATTCAGAAAAAAATACACTAATAAGATTCAAAACACAAAATACTACCTAACAAAACACAATTTAAATGAGAACTAATTTGAAAGAAACATACCAATTACAAAGGCAAAGCTATGAAGCAGTTTGAGATGGAGTTACTGACTATTCTAGGTTTCAGAAGATCTGAAGATCAGAATAGTTTCACCTTGTCTATATAAAAAATTTGTTTTCTATCTTACAGTTGGCTTGTTGGGCTTATGAATGCATGAACCTCAAAGAAAATTTGAATATTTTCTGGCATATGCTCTGGGCAATAACTTCTAGTATGGACTACATAGTCTAACAAAATCATTAATAAAACTGTATGACTGGCTACTAATTTGGTGAACAGCAGTTAGTGTAATATTTAAGTTGTAATTAATAGCCTTCTGAATATAAACCAAAGCAGTCTTACTATCAGATACTACAACCACCCCAAATCAGAAATTAAACTGCACAAGACTCGAATATGGGCAGCAAGACCTATCACACATTGCTCAGTTGTATGCCAAAAAGCTTACCTGAGCCTTGACAGTTGAAGATTTTAAAGACATAATTTGCTTTGACAATATGTTTATTGAGCACCTAGGTATTTCTCAAGGTTTTGGTTTCGTTTTGTTGGGTTTTTTTCTTACTGAACTGAACGATTTACATGCTAATGGAGAACTTCATCCAAGTAATCAAACGGGCAGCTAAGTGCTGTACCAATGGTGAGCTACTGCAGAAGGGCCTCACAAAACTCAGTGGACAAAAGGTGACAGATGAGCTTCTGCGCAGATAAAAGGTGGTGAATCCTGGGAAAGTTAAACTATGCTTATTTGACACTCAGTTAAAGTATGGCAGCTACAGCTCACGAGAGAGATCTTTTATCACCACTCATGATTATCTTAAACATTAGCTCAATGCAAGCAGCAGCCACCAGAAATAGCAATAAAATACTGGGCACCACTAGGAAGGTGATTGAGACCACCACAGAGGGCATCGTTTGGACTCTCCATAAAACCCTCAAATACCCACATATTCAGTACTGGGTGCGGTTCTGGCATCCACATTTCCTGGAGGACTTGGTGGAGTTAAGAGAAAGCAGAAAGAAGGAAGACTAATATAATTAAGGGAACAGAGCAGATTCCTTAAGAGACTAAGGCTGACACTAACTTGGAAAAGAGAAGGTTGAGGGGGGTTTATGATCAAAGTGCAAAGATTCAGGAAGGCTGTGGATAAGGTGAATGATTAACTGTTAATCACCAAATCCCACAACAGAGCGAAACCAGTCAGAGATTGGTTTAAAACAGATAAAAGAAAGTGCTTCTTTAAGTTGCAAGTAGCAAATTTCTGGGGTTGTTTCTACTTGAGATTAGTGACACAGACTGCACCAACAGATTTGAAGAGAAATTACGCAAGTTTCCTGACAACAGACACTAAAAGGAAGATGACGTTGAAGTATATATCACCTCACACAACTGCAGATGCCACAGAGCACACTGAGCTACACAGTTTATGAATTTGATGCAGTAAGTGATTTTTAAATATAGTTTTAAGGAAAAGTAAACAAATCTTCTCCCTATCATTGACTGCAGGCAGCAAAATCATAGAAACATTGAATGATTTGGGCTGGAAGGGACTGTCAAAGACCATCCAGTCCAACCCCTCATCACCAGATCAGGCTGCTCAAAGCGCCGTCCAACCTGACCGTGAGCATTTCCAATGATGAAGCATTCATAACTTCTCCGGGCAACCTCTTCCAGTGCCTCGCCACTCTCATCGTAAAAAATGCTTTCCTTATATCCAACCCAAACCTATGCTTTTTCTGTTTAAAACTATTGACCCTTGTCCTGTCACTACAGGTCCTCGTAAAAAGTCTCCATCTTTCTTATAAGCCTCCTTTATATATTGAAAGGGCGCAATAAGGTCTCCCCAGAGGCCATACTTACAGATAAGTTACCTAGAGTATTTGTAATTAGAATCGTAGCTCTGCAACTCCTACAAATCCCTCAAAACTGATGAACTAACAAATGAAAATTGTTAACCAGAGAAACATATGACAAGTTTACCACTTCAACACAAAGTAAACCCATACTTCCCGGAAACACGCCTCCACCATTGAAAATCCTGTTGAATACTCCATGACAGGAGGACCATCCACCCTGTCCCCAAAATCCTGAGTGAAACCAAGTGCTGAGGCAAAAGTTATGTAAATATCAGAAAGAAGTGTCAAGTTCTATCAGTTAAGCTACTTAAAACGGCCAGTAGGTTGAAGTGGAAACCAAAGCCTGAAAAAAAATCCCTTGGATCCGTATACATTTCATAAGCAGCCAAGCCTGGAGAAGGACTCCAAGCTCAAGATACACAGCTGCCATCAGAAGTCTCAAAACTAAAAGGTAACACCACTTTACCATATAATTAACTCATCAAATCAGATGTCTAAAGAGATGTCCTTTCAAACAATGATCTTCATGTACTTGACGCTTCAGTATTTGGAAGACATTTACTATGAATAATGGAATTAAATATGAATTTGAGCAATAAGGGAGTGGCCAACTATAAGGGTAATTCAGTCCAAAGCAGCTCATGTCACAAGAACTAAATGAAGTTGAGCCCCTCACCAAGAGATGAGACAGAATTTCAGCTGTTTGTCTACCCAGAATACTAAGGAAGCCCTTTACTCTGAGGCATGAGCAGGCAAGTCAAATGCACAAGGAAGTCTCCCTGCTCTCAGTTAAGTCACAAAAAGAAGTAATTGCAGGGAAAGCCCTGCTCAGCCTCAAGCTGAAGATTGTCTGGGAAATCAGCAGGACAGAAACAAGGCTTTTTTTTGTGAATGCATGATCCAAATATTGACAGCTTCATCAAATGCAAGCAAATATTCGCAGAGATTTCAAAAGCTGTGGCTGACAAAGACAATCCTACTGGAAAAGCTCTAGAGGTATCTGAATTACAAATATGCTGAGGCAGAGTGAGGCACAGAAACTTCTGACCAATACAGTTACACTTTGTTGAAGTTATAAGTCTCCATACTGGAGGCCTGTGGCAATGTTTAATACATCGTGGGGTAGTGAAACTGAAACATCAGAGCTAACTCAATCAGCTACCAACATCATTCTGAGCTTTCTGTATTACAGTTTTGTCACCAAACACAGGTAGCAAAAAAGGACGATTCCATACATGAAAAGCTTTGGTAAGTAATTATGTGATCTCAGTACTATCACTCTTGATTGCAAGCTGCAATGTGGAAATGAAAATATTAAAAATTCCACAGAACACTACTACTTGCTCACTGTAAAGACGTAACAGCTCTAACAAAAAAGCAGCAAAAAGTGTCTTAAAAATCAAACACTCGAAATCAATATTTTGGAGATGCATTTCCTCAGACAGCTGTCCTCATATAGCACTAGATTTCTTTTGTACAATACTCCATCTTCAGTGACACATACTCTTCTCTGCTTGCTCTACGCCTTTCCCATTCTACATCGTATCTTCAACAGACCCATGCTCAGCTCATGCATGAGTACGTTTTTTAACCTTCCTGGAACCTGAAAAAGTGTTTCTTGAACATGACTCTGCTTGAAAGGTTCAGCTGAGTTCCTGTCCTTCTGTACAGTGGAGAAAGAAACTGTGAGAGGTGGAAACTTCAAAGTACAGAAGTTTACAGTATAGGACACAGCCAACCTGCAAATTTTTCTCAGCTTGCAGCTCACATCTTCCTAACACATAAAACTGACACATGCTATCCTCTTCCTCTTTGTCCTCTCTTATGGGGACGCTAAACCATTTCTTCATTGCTCTCAACCATACTCTTTAGTTCCACAGGTTCACGACCCTTACAAAATATATATTCCACAAATCTTAACACTCTCCATCCATAATTCTCACATAGCCCTGCTTTCACTCGTATGTCCTTAATATAGAGTAAGGTTCAAACACATATAAGCAGACTTAAGTTTAATAATAAAGAAACCAACTTGGCTGAAAATATATATTGTGAGGGTTTTTCCCCCCCTCCAAACAGTTATCTTGCATCAACACACAATGCACTAAGATGACAAACAGTGCAGAAATGCATCCACTAGCACATCACAATGGCTCTCCATCATTCTGGCACTACAAAAGACTAATAAATCCAGTATTACTAGCTAATACAGTCTGATGTATATATAAGGCACATATGTATCAACTGGTCAGGGAACAGGAAAGCATAGGAAAAGAGTTACTGAAAAACACAATCTGATACCTATCACAAATATTCTCTTCACAATTTCAAACTCATCATGTACTTCTCTTTCCACCCTAATATGATTTTAGAAACAAGTATGAAATACCTTGGACCTTCAATTCAGTTGTAAGTAAAGTTCTATATTTTCTCAGCTTTCAAGTTTAAAAACATTCAAAAAACATTTAAAAAACAATGTTAAAAAAAAGTTCTAGAATTGCATGCAGCATGCTCCAAACAGTGAGTTTAAGAAGAAAACTCTTAGTGCTAACAAAAAGGCCCACATCCTAGAAAGGCAAGGTCTTTGTATGTTCTATTTGGATAATATTTACCTGCTTTCCTTTAATTATTTTTAACGACTCAGCTTAGAAACTCACACACTTCCACTGTCTGTTGGACGAAATCAAGTAATAGTAAATATCTTTCTGATATTAATCTGTAGTCATGGAAATTACATATTTCAAACTCAACATTATGACTCCTATGTAAGATCAGAGAGGGTATGAGACTATGAAAAGGGAGCTTTTGTTTAAATATAGACATAGCTGAAGCAGTCAGCAACCCTTTAAACTGCCGAGCCAGGGATAGATCAATCCAGTAGTTGCTTAACTGCTGATAATTTTGTCAGACCTTCAAAACGTATGCATGCTTTTATACCAGGCAAGACTAATTCATTATATACATAGGACTTGACCTACTCCTTAAATCCGCCAAGCAAATGTTCTGACAGTGATCTAACTTTTAATAAAAAGCTACTCGATAAATGACAAAAAAGTTATAGGCTGTACAAAGGTAAAAAGTGGCTGTTGCTATATAGTGAACTGTTCACACCTGGCACAATAAAGTAAGTAGACGAAGATCAATTGCCTAATTTTGGAGGTACATGTTTTAAGGAAGATCTTAAAGTAATAATGAGACAGTGACCATTAATGAACAATTAATGAGGCAATCATCCTTGTTCAACCACAACGCCCTTACTAGTCACTGACAGGTTAGGCAAGCTTCCTCATGATTTCACTAACGGGTCTTTATCTTGTCTTGCACAACTTACCTTCCAGTTTTGGAGAAGAAACCAGAGTTTGCCTCCCTTTCAGTTCTTTATACTTTTGCATTTGCTAATATGAAAACTATCTAATTGTGGTTTTCCTCTGTTTACCAGAAACAGGCTAAGGCTACCACTTATTTTCAGAGAAGTCATTGGATGCTAACAACTTTTGTTCACAATAAACAGTCATACATTGAACACTTTGGCTACACATTTCTGTTCCTTTATGGGGCCTCCTCAGCCTCCTGCCCATCCACGTCCTTCCAACCCTCCAAACCTCTCTGTCTATCATGTCTTAATTCCTGTTTTTAACTAGACAGCAAACTGCACTGCGTAGCTGTTAGTATTACTTAATGTCAATGAATACTAAAGCAGTAATGCACCAAAGTGCCACAAAATGACTCTACATTTGACCCTGGATTTCTGGACAGGTCAGTATCCAAAAATCAGTAGAGTTCACAGGACTCAGAGCAATAGACCACAATACCTTCAACTTTAATGCTTCTATTGCAAGCATAGTGCTGCTGAACAGTGAATATTTTAAAAAAGCTTGCACTGCTGCATTTTGTCTCCAGGTTGGTATTTCAGCCTCTGAAACTGTACATCATAACTTACAACAACTGTACAACATAACTTACAATTCATGGTCACTTGCTGCTAGATCGGTCAGAGATACCAAACATTCACAAAACAAAACTCTCGGTCACTCCCATGTTAAACATAGTGAAACAAAACATGCCTATCACAACTTAAGATGATTTCACATGTACCTATCTGACTCAGGGACGCCTTTTCTTTCTTAAAAGTCCTCAGAGCTGTATTAGCGGTCACAGGTTAAATGTGAGTCGGTAACAGATACATAAACAACCCTAAGCAATAGTCCAGCCGGTCAGGTGCTGGCACATACCTGTTATGCGCAGGAACACAGGCACTAGGCACCTCACTTCCTGACAGCTCATCATTTTGGACAAATACTTCACATTCCTCCGCCAGTCACAGCCCAAGTCAGCCTTCTTTCCTCACCGCCTCGTTAGAGGTTTGCACCCGCTTACGAGTGCCAGGCGGCACCCAGCTGCCCGGCGGGGCCGAGGAGAGCCCCCTCGCAGTCCCACGGACGTCGGGGGAAGGGAAGCAGTACCGACCCGGTGCTCCCCCCGCTCACCTCCCCGACTTGCCCCAAGTTGTAATC